TGTGAGCCACCCACGCCCAGCTGTATCTAATTCTTAAAATTGTTAGATCCAGAAATTTCCATTTTTAGAAATCTATCAATATTAAATTAAATAAATATTATGTAGCCATCTTCATCTGGCAAGGTGTTTCTCTACAAAGTGAGGTGCTTGGAAGGTTGGGAGGCCTATTTTGAATCCTCTTCTAATACTCATTAGCTCAGGGATGCTTAGTAGGTTAATGAATCTGCCTACATTTGGTATACTCTGTAAATGCAGCTGCTATTTTGTCATTGTGACTTTCAGCAGCAGGGATTGAAACAATGTTCAAACAGCACGTGGAGAGTACTTGATAACAGAGCTAATTATCAACCTCAGGGCGTTTACAACAGCAATCTTCCTCACCCAGACAAAACACATTAGATTTATCAGGGAGTGAGTCAAAACTCTTAAAAGCCAGGTGATGGAAGTCTCATTTAAAATGATTCTGTGGTGTTTCATTGGCAACACACCATCTCCTTGGCTGTCATCTATTGAAAGTCAGTCCTTAGTACAAAGTATTTTTTTAGGAAAAAAGAAAAAAGAAAAGAAAAAGAATCCTGAACTAATTTGGAAAGCTGGGGAAACCCTGAAAAAGCCCTAAAAACACATCTGCATTTGGAAGTGGGGGTTTGTGATGGCAAGGAACACATTTTGTTGCTCAGCCAATATGCAATCCATTAAATAGATATAGAGTACTAATTATATTCCAAGCTTCTTGCTAGACCAAGGAGCTGAGAACAAAAAAGGGAGACAATCCCTAACTGATCAGAGGAAGGAATGAACAAACTGAATGACTGCTGCACCTTTTCTGATTTTTTTCTCAACTCAATCCATGCTTTTCTTTTCTTAAGTTACCTCTCTTGTTTCACCTATGCTTTTCTTTACTATGTCATTAGGTAGTGGCAATTCCTTCACAAGGCTCCGCTGAAATATGGTCAATCTACTAAATGAATGGAGGTAAGAAAGTATATGTGTTCACCTGGGTGCTGGTGGCTCATGACTATAATCCTAGCTACTCAGGAGGTGGAGATCTGAGGATCATCGTTCAAAGCCAGCAGGGCAGAAATCTGTGACATTCTTAATAACTAATTAGCTACTAAAAACCTAGAAGCCAAGCTCAAGTGGTAGAGTGCTAGCCTTGAGCACAAAAAAAAGCTCAGGGACAGCACCCAGGTCCTGAGTTGAGGCCCCAGGTCTGGCATGCACATACACACACGCGCACACAAGTATTTTTTGGATGGGTTCAAAATTTTCAAAATAAAAGGTGAAAAAAATCCCATGATGATAGGATTTTTAATACACTGGCTTTGTATCATCATTGTTTATATAAAATTATTCCTAGCTGAATACTGGTGGCTCACTCTTGCAATCCTAGCTACTGAGAAGGTTGAGATCTGAGGACTGAGCTTTGAAGACAGCCTAGGCAGAAAAATCTATTCGTATCTCCAATACAGCATCCAAAAAAGCCAGAAATGGAGATGTGGCTCTGGTAGTAGAGTACTAGCCTTGAGCACAAAAGTTCAGAGACAGTGCCCAGGCAAAGCTGACACAAAAAAGAAAGAACAAAATAAATAGGTAAATAAATAACCTCTAAAGGTACGAATAAGTAAGAAACTACATAAGAAAGAGGCTAAAATACTATATAGCAATGAACTCTGTCATTTCCTAGAAAGAGGTAATGAAATCATGTGAAATGGGAAAAAAAGAACCTAAATCATAAAAATGAAAACACAGGGGCTGGGAAGGTGGCTCAGTGGTAGAGCGCTTGCCTTGCATGCATGAGGCCCTGGGTTCAATTTCTCAGCACCACATAAGCAAAAAGAAAAAAGCTGGAAATGGCACTGTGGCTTAAGTGGTGGAATGTTAGCCTTGAGCTGAAGAGCTGAGGGACAGCGCCCAGGCCCAGAGTTCAGACCCCATGAACGGATCAAAAGAAAAAAAAAAAGAAAAGAAAACACATGTGATACACACATACAAAATTCCAAAATGAATCTGGCTAGGTAGGAATGTCACTTTCTTTTTTTCCATGGGGAAAGTTGCCCATGTTAATAATAACAATAAATAAATAAATAAGTTACACTTATAGAAAATCCTTTTTGTTTAGTAAACGTATACCAGTGGGCATAGAGGCTAGGGTAAATTGCCTATTGAGGGAAAAGCAGTTTCAACAAAGGCACATCTCAGTTACTACCCTCACATGCAGATACTTTGGCAACTGACTCACATAGTTGGGGCATAGTTTAACCTACTACTTAAAACCTAAGGCATATTTGAGATTTTTCTTCATCTGAGTAATTATTCAGAGAAACAAACTCAACGCAAACATTTGGCTACTAGTGTCAGATTTTATTATTAAATGATAACTTATAAATTCTTTAACCACAAGAGTGCGTATAAGGGGCCGGGAGACAGTGAAGGGAAGGAAGATGTTGTATGAAAGGAAATGTACTCCTTACCTGACTCATTTAAATGTAATCCCTCTGTACGTCATATTTTTAATAACAACAAAGTAAATTTTTTAAGAAAAGAAAGAAAGAAAAGAGAGCTAGGTACCTGTGGCTCACACCTGTAACCTTAGCTACTCAGGAGTCTGAGATCTAAGGATTGTGGTTTGAAGCCAGCCTGGGGAAGGAAAGTCTCCAATGAATCACCAGAAAAGCAGAAGTGGAACTGTGGCAGAAGGAGGAGGAGGGGGAGGAAAAAGAGGGGAAGGAGGGAGAAAAGGAAGAGAGAGAGGAGGAAGAGGAGGAGGAGGAAGAGGAGGAAATAAAAGAAAAAATGAAAAGAAAAAGCCAGGTACTAGCCACTCAGGAAGCTGAGATCTGAGGATTGCAGTTTGAATCCAGACTGAGCTAGAAAGTCTGTGAAACTTTTTTTTTTCTCGGTTGTGAGGCTTGATTTCAGGATGTGAGCACTGTCCTGGAGCTTTCAGGGCTACAGCTCCACTTCAGGCTTTTTGTTTTTGTTTTTATTTGTTTTTGTCTTTGGTTAACTGGAGGTAAGAGTTCCACAGATTTTCCTGCCTCAGTTCTCAGCTTTCTGAGTAGCTAGGATTACAGGCATGAGCCACTAGTGCCTGGCTTCCATGAGACTCTTATCTCCAATTAACCACTTAAAAACTGGAAGTAGACTTGTGCCTCAAAATTGGTAGACCACTAGCCTTGAGCACAAAAGTTCAGGGACAGCACCCAGGCCCTGAATTCAAGCCCTACCACTGAACAGAAATGAAAAAAGAATTAAGCCTGTGAGCTTTCAACATTCCTGTAGTTTGAGTTCACACAGGACAGATTAGAATAGTTGATTCACACTTTGAAAGAGACTCCTCTACTGTCTTTCACAAACACTTTGTGTTTGAAAAAATGAAAACTTACCAAATCATCCAGTACTTAAAATTAACATCCTCATCATCTTGCAGTTTAAATGATGACTGAACAATAACTCAAGCTAGTTGTGTTCTATATATTCTTTATTAATATAATTAGTATTCTTAAATCTTTTAAATGGTTCTACTAAGCCCTAAGGGGAAATGATTTCAAAAGATTAAATACATATGCTGATTTAAAATACAATTTCTCAGACATCCAACTTCTATAATTTGAGTTTACAGAACAATATAGATTAATTTTGGCACTACCTCTTTGGCAGTGTTTTAAAATTAAGGTACTATTATACATAGCTCAAGATTTTTAATACAAGAACTACAACCTTAATTCTTTTGCAAGGCATGCACTCTACTGCTGAGCCACCTTCCCAGCCCCTTTAACTTAATTTTTTTTTTTTTTTTTTTGGGTCCGGTCGTGGAGCCTGAACTCTGGGCCTGGGCACTGTCCTTCAGCTCTTCAGCTCAAGGCTAGCACTCTACCACTTGAGCCACAGAGCCACTTCCGGCTTTTTTCTTTTTTCTTATGTGGTGCTGAGGAATTGAACCCAGGGCCTCATGCATGCAAGGCAAGCACTCTACCACTGAGCCACCTTCCCAGCCCCACTACTTAGGAATATGGTCATTAAGAGACTTCCAACAAACTTAAAAATTCAGAGCAAAAGTCCAGGTAAAGTTCAAACACACTTTCTAGAGTTGAAATCCAAACTGTTTAAATTTCATGAAACTTTTAATTAAGTTTTTCTGATAATGTTTTGAAAGGGGTGCTGATGTAATAAAAGATTAAGAAATAAATAATATCATCTGATGGAATTATTTGCCTCATGCAAAGAAATCTGGGTGTCAATCCTGGTAAAAAGTTTACTATCTAGGGTTGGACATATAGCTCAATGATAACTTGCTAAAATGTTTGAGGTCCTGGGTTTGATAGTACTGGGAAAAAAAATCACCATCTGGGTGAATTTGAACAAAATAACTAACAGCTTTATGATTCAAAATTTTCAGCCTCTGAAGATGAGAAGTATATACATATTTCTAAGTTAAAACAATAAAACAAACAATAAGGATGAAAATGTTGGAAGAGTAGCAGCAACTCACTAGCAACATTATTAACTAGCAATTGTCAAGTGGATACAATTTTAAAATAGCCTCTAGTTACAGAACCACTCTGTTTTGCAAAACTTTAGACCTTAGGGTTTATTACACATGACAAAGAAATCTTATCCATGAAACTGCACTAATATTCTAGTTTATGAGACACTTGAAGAAGGAGAAGGGAACTCGGGTGGATGATAAGTCTTTCTCAGGACATGTTAATCTTGAAAAGGAACTAAAATACACATCTCGGATGAACCCTGTCGACAGGATCCCTAAAAACAGAACTCTTCACAATGGAAATGACTCAAAGAATGATCACAGCGGCTCAGTACAATTCAGTTCTTCCTCCTACACGCCTGACAGGGCAAAAGAACAAACTAGAGAATCACCTGGCAAGCGCTGGTTTACCTGTTTGGAGGTGAACAGGTCGTGGTAGCTTCATGGGGGGGGGGGGGGTCATACACAGGCAGGGCGAGGGGACAGGGTGCCGGCAGGCTGACCCTACCTTTCACAGACTTCCCAACACTGTGCAAGTGAGTGATCGAACTGTAGTTCTGGGCCACGCTCTTCAAGAACGCTTCCATCTCTTCTTGGTGGTGGTATTTGAAATCCAGCGCAGCTACCCAGGGCAGCAGAAGCCCAAGCCAGAGGCGCGTGAAGTCCATGTTCTAGAGGTGAATAAAAAGAATGAGGTCGAGGAGAGACATAGGAAGCCAAGGGGACACGGCTCGCTCCGGGGCTCGGGGACCCACTCCCGGATGCTTCCCGAGGAGCACGAAGTTGGAAGCGACACCTTCGGGACTGAGTGCCACCAACAGCGGGAGAGCTCCCTCAGCGCTCCGTGCCATTCGCCCCGCCGCCCGCCCCCTTCCGGCAGCTCCGGCAGCTGCGCCGGGCGCCGCGCGCGCCCCGACTAACCGCGGCTCCGGCGCGCGTCTATGCCCGCCCGCCAGTCGGCGGCCGCCCGCAGGGCCCGAAGTTATAGCCCAGTCAGAGGGCGGTCACGCCCCGACTCCGCCCCCAGGACCTCCTGTAGTCCAATCAGAAGCCTCGCAGGGCCCCCTGGTAGGCGGGGCCTCGGACGCCTTCGCACCTAGGAGTGTGCGCCCACGCTTGCCGCGCGAGCGCTGAGAGACCGCGCGGGCCTTGGGCATGCAGCCGTCCGTGCAGGCGGGCCGGTGGACCGCTGGCCCTGGCCTGGGCCATGGCTGTCCCAGGGCGCTGTGCTGAGGGGACGCTGGCTGTCAGGATGGAGATGGTAAGGACTCGGTGGTGGTTCTGAGGGGTGGCGTGGGGGTGGTGTGGCGGTCCTGCTCTGAGAGACACCTTGCGGTCTCGGGTCTCGCGTGGACTGGAGGGAGCCTTGGAGCCCTGTCGGGTCCTAAGGACGCGTCAAGGTCCTACAAATACAGAAAGGTTGGAAAGCGTCGACTTCGGGGAGCATGCAGATCGCCTTGGGCCTACTCCACCCCCACGCCGGATTAATGCAGCAGAAACGGGTAAGAAGAGTGCGAGTCAGGGCCTGGCACTTGCTGGAGGCTGCCCCACTTCTTGAGCCACGTCCGTAGCCTTTTTTCCTTTAGTTTTTCCTCGTGTTTTTGCTCAGGGCCCGCCTCAGGCCTTCTACAGAGCGGCGAGAACCGACACAAAACCCCCTCCAGCGTTGGTTGGCGGAGATGGGGTCTCTCAAACGTTTTGCCCGGGCTGGCCTGCAAACCCCCATCTCTGTCTCAGACCCCCCCAAGTTGGGTAGTTAGGGGCACAGGTGTGAGCCGCTGCGCCAGGCATGAAAGGGTATTTTTAGAGACCTTGAGTGAATTCTGTGTGCCTTCCGCAGTTGAGAATCTCTAGTTCAGGTAGAGAGGTTGTTTCTAGAACTTAGGAGGTGGATGCTTAGGTCTCCAGAGATTCCAAGGCAGTAGAGCTGAGGGGCTTAAGGGCTGAGACCCTGGTGGCTGTTTCCATTCCCCGTGTCTTACTTTCCTCTGTTTCCGTTAAAACAGAGACCATACTTTTAGCTACCTGAGTAAATTTGGTAGGCACGTTGTGAGAAATCGAGGGCACTCTCTCCGGCAGCTTGCTTCCTCTTAGCTAACACTCTGCCGCTTGAGCCACCCCTCCAGTCTGGCATTTTGCAGGTTATTTGTAGATACTTTCTTCAGACTTTTCTGCTTCAGTTGGCTTGGAACGTTGATCTTTCAGGTCTATGAGTGCTTTCTAATTCATAAATCGGACAGGGTTTGGAGTGGATTTTTAAAAACCATGCACAGTAGTTTCTATGCTAAATGAGTCTTCTTTAAAGAAGCTTTCACTTTCAACTAAAAAGCCTGAGGGGAGGGGCTAGGGCTTAAGGACATTGAACTGAGGTGCTATAAGGAAAGGGGAAGGGAGATGACCAGGAACAAAGGGAGGGGTTGTTTGCTTAGTGGGCAGAACATAGTTCAGTAACAGAAGCAAATGGAAGCAAATGGAGGTGTTGTGACTGGCCACTAGGGAAATGTTGATTTCCTCAGTGCTGAGATGGAGAGGCCAACATTGTTATTCCTGAAAAGCAAAGGGGTGCTGTGTGGCTGAAATTGCTGCCTTCAGGGGTTCACATCAGGCCAAGGGGAAGCAAATTCAGATCCCTACTCCTAAGAATGGTGTAGGGAACACAGGATCGAAGTCTGAAGGGATAGGGCCTAGTGATTCCTCTACAGTCTTCATTCCAGTCCCACCAAAAAAGTGTGATCCAGACCAGACAGGAAAGTCCATGAGACTCTTATTGCCAATTAATGACCAAAAAGCCAGAAGTGGAGCAGTGCTCAAGGGGTAGAGTATTGTCCTTGAGCAAGTAAGCTTAGGGACAGCACCTAGGCCATGAGATCAAGCCCCAGGACCAGAACCAAAAAAAAAAAAAAAAAAGAAAGAAAAGAGAAGGAAAAAAGTGTGATCCACACTAGTATCAAGGAAATCTGAGCTTCAAGGTATACTTTTTTCCAACTTAAGGAGAAAGAATACCTGCTCACAAAATGTTATTAGGGCTGGGAAGGTGGCTCAGTGGTAGAGTGCTTGCATTGCATGCTTGAGGCCCTGGGTTCGATTCCTCAGCACCACATAAGCAGGGGGAAAAAAAGCCAGAAGTGGCGCTGTGGCTCAAGTGGTAGAGCACTAGCCTTGAGCTGAAGAGCTGAGGGACAGTGCCCAGGCCCAGAGTTCAGGCCCCACGACTGGACCCCCCAAAAAATTATCTCAATATAATAAATACTTAATATCTAGATATAAATAAACAGTTTAAGCCACAATTTTACCTTTTGGGAGCCTCATTTTCTTATCTATAAAACAAAAATATTATTACTATTATTATTATTATTATGTTTTCCATTGCTGGGCACCGAGCCCAGGGCAACATGCATGCCCTTAAGCAAAAAGTCTAACCACTGAGCTGCCTACTATATAAGGTTATACTCAGTAAAATCTCAGTAATTATCACCAATTACTATTATATTATTATTTTACCTTCTGCAGTAATCCCTCTACACTTAAACAACACCAGTTCTCTTTGCAGTGTGTATGATTGTAATGATCAATAGCAATAGCTTACATTTATTGCTCACTTTCCCTGTTAGGTATGGATAACTTCTTTAAAATGTTCAGATCCCACATGTTTTGAGATATATTATCTCATTTAATTCTCAAACCATCCTTAGTAGGTAGGTGTAGTTGTGACTGTGACCCCTGAGAGTCCCTGCCTCACCTTGTTGACTATACCAAAAACTCAAAAGACTTGAAAGCCATTTGTCAGGGTCAATTTGTCCTGCAACAAGGTAACACTTTTCTCTAAGAAAATGCATAGTCTGGCTGCTGCCTACTATAAAAGCAATGAATTCCTAAGCTAAGTGTTTCTCAGCTTTTGCAACTTCCACCTGGGCTTCCCTGTGTTGCCCCTGGAGGAGTTGGGGAGCAAGAGGAACTGAGAAATACACAGCTCAGGCTGCTAACTGCAACAGATAATAAAGTCCTCTGTGTCTGACCCAGGAATCTCATGTGACCTGCCCGCATAAGTGAGCCAGTAACTGACAAACTATTAGCTTGTAGTGGGAAAATCTCCAACCCTGTAAAGAAGTAGCTTGGCTATTTGCTAGTGGTACTACATTGCTCACTGGCTTTCTTCAATCCTATGAGTTGAGCGTAGTGTCTGATATATCAAAGGTACTAAGGGCTTGTTGAATGAATAGTTCATATTATTTAAGTAATTTACATAGGTATCAAATAATCCTCAGAACAAGCCTTACAAAATAAGGGCTAAGGCCCAAAGAAACATAGGTCCCATGGTTTCCCTTATTTGCAATATCTAGTATAGGTATGAGTCAAGCGGAAAAGGTCAGATAATGTGATGTTAGGAAAACGAACCCTTAAATATGTATTTTAATGTTTTTGTTTCTTTCATGCATGTGTTTCTAACGCATTTATAAGATTATTTCTTTGTTGCTTTGTATGTCCCTCCCCCACAGTGTAACCCCCGCTTTCACTATATTTGATGTCAGTATAACATGTGGAGGAGATGGGGACAAACAAGTCGTTTAAGGATTCAGGTGGACCTGTTGCAACAATGAGAAGTACAAAATGTCATGTCAAAACCAGCTTTACAATGTCGGTGTGGGGGGGGAGGGGGGAATGATTGGGTGGGGGGGAGGGGGGAGGCTGGGAAGGGAGGTGAAGGGTAAACAAAGGAGGAGGCTGCAATGCTTGGTAAGAAATGTATGCATTATCCTGCCCATGTAATTGTAACCCCTCTGTACAGTATGTTCTCAAATAAAATAAAATAAAATTTAAAAAAAAAAACAAAATAAGGGCTATTATTTCTTCTTTTTATAGTTGAGAAAAAAGGTTTGAAGAGTTTAACTGACTTGCCCATTGTCACTCAACTAGGAAATGGGGCAGTCAGGATTGCTTTCTGGTCATGACAAAGTCTACAAATAACTCAGTGTGATAAGGAAAATAGTGTGTGTGTGTGAGAGAGAGTGAATGTGAGTGTGTATTTATCTGTGTGTCTGTGTATGCTGGTACTGAGGTTTGAACTTGAAACTTCATGTTCTTGCTCAGATAGCATTCTACCACTTGAGTTATACCTTTGAAGCATGGGCTGGCTTTAAACCAGGATCCTCTGGATCTTAGTCTCCTGAGTAGCTAGGATTGTAGGCCCAAGCTCTGGTGCCTCGCTCCCATCCTCTCTTCCTCTTCTTGTGCCTCTCCTCCTTTCTTTCCCCTTTTCTCTTCTCCTCTCCTTTTCTTTCCTCCCCCCCTACTCTCCTTGCTTCTTCTTTCCTATTCCTCTCTTCTTCCTCTCCTTTTCTTCTCACTCTCTTTTCCTCCTCCACTGACCCTCTTTTCTTTCCATGTCCTCCTCTTCTTCTTCTTCTTCCTCTTCTCCTTTTTCTTTTCTTCTTTCTTTCTTTTTTTTTTTTTTTTGGGGTCCGGTCGTGGGGCCTGAACTCGGCCTGGGCGCTGTCCCTCAGCTCTTCAGCTCAAGGCTAGCGCTCTACCACTTGAGCCACAGCACCACTTCCGCCTTTTTTCTTTTTGCTTATGTGATGCTAAGGAATCAAACCCAGGGCCTCATGCATGCAAGGCAAGTGCTCTACCACTGAGCCACCTTCCCAGCCCTAGTTCTTTTAAGACAAGTTTTCTTGAAATTTCACATGTAGAACACAAAGCCATGGACTAATGTTGCCCTATTGAAGTTGGCCTGCTATTTCTCATGTGATCTTACCTATGGCCTCCCATGTAGCTGGTTCCACAGTCTTGTATTACCATGCCCAGATTATTGATTGAGAGGAAGTCTTGTTAACTTTTTGCTCAGGCTGGTTTTACACCAATCCTTCTGACCTCTGCTTCCTAAGTAGCTGGGATTATAAATGTGAGCCACTAGCTAAGAAGAGTTTTGAAGTGAAAACCTGACACAGAAA